AATTGGGAACTAGTTTGGGTTTTTTGAAATCGATTCAACATCATGTTTTTTTTGTGTATGTGTTTGTGTGTCGGTTATGGAACAACTTTGAGTCTGGTTAAAAGCACTGTGATACATTCGCCAGCTTGATTTTCCCAGTTTTTCCTCTGTACAGGGAAATTAATTCTTCCCCTCAGCCGTACTTTGTGCCTTTCTTGAGGTGGAGCTTGCCTGCTCCTGAGGCAGCTGATGATGGACTCAGCAGCCTTCATTCAGCAAAGCCACCACCATCAGCCCACAACGCAGCTCACAACTAGTGCGACAGCCGTTTCCTCTGTCCTTTATTAATTGCCATGCCTGGTCTAAATTGTACGGTTTTTAAAAAATATTTATTTATCCTATTCCTCCCTCTCAGGGCTACATTAAATCCCATTAAACACCATGTGCTAATTGACCTCATGGACAGTTGCAAAATTAGAAAAGATGTTTATGATTTAAGCAGAAGGACCCTGTGACTTGGACAAATGGGGAGGATCACCACCAGGGGCCCTGGGTGTGTCGGCTGCCGGAGTCTGCTGCCCAGGGGCTGATCAGAGTGGATGATGGAAACCCTCCAGGTCCCTCCCCCTTCCTTAAAAAGAGGACCTCCGGCCAAGTTAGCTTCAGAGGATGAACTTGGGACCCATTGGGTAAGGTAGCTCTCAGCTGAGTTTGTGTAATGAAAGCACAAAAACCCAACGTTGCAAAATGGTGTTGGTTGTGTACCCTCAACGCTGAAGCTAGGAACAGACACACAAAACACACACACACACGCACGGAAATAGGATTCTGTGTGGGTCAGAAGGACTCAGCTGGATGGGAACTGGTGCCCTGATGTTCTAGTCTAACACTCGGTTTCCCTTGGTGATCTTCCAAGTCCCTCTGGAACATGTTGTGTATGGGAGGAATAGCATCCTCCCATCCTTGTCTCCTAGCAACTGGCACTGATTGTTGCTCTGAAAGTACCGCAAAGATCTCATCCTGAGGACTAGTCGTCATTGATCGCCTTCTTGTTAGACCTCTTTCGAAGCCATTCGGTTTGGGGGCCGATCCACAGTCCCTGGGAGTGAGAGCTGCTCCAGACACTCATTGCCTGGACGACCACTTGGTTCTATGCTAAACGTGCAGGGAGGGGAGACCTGCGATGCCGTAGGACACGAGGAAACCCACTGGCCACATGGAGAGGTGCTCAGCAACGCTCTCTCCTTCCTGAAGGCTGTGATTTCAACCGTCTGAATGGTGGCGGTGGCTGCTTGCAGGAGACACAGAGGCAAACCGAGATACAGTAGAATATTAGAATCCTAGAAACATGGAGTTGCAAGGGACCTCGAAGGCCATCCAGTCTAACCCCCTGCTCAAGGCGGGGATCCATCAAAGCAGATCTCATAGGGGGTTGTCTAAATTTCCTCTGGAAAGTCTCTTGTGCTGGCACGCTCACCACCTCCTGAAGCCACCGGTTCTGTTGTGGAACTGCTCTAACAGTTAAGGGGTTTTTCCCCCTGATATCCAGCTGAAATAGTACAGTCATGCCCCACTGGACGATTACCCCGTTTAACAACGAATCCGCTTAACGTTGAAGTTTTTGCAATCGCAAAAGCGACCGCAAAACGATGTTTAGATTGGGTTTTTTCGCTTCACTTTGATCGGTTACGTGTTTCAGGAACCGATTTTTCGCTTTACAATGATCAGCAAACAGCTGATCGTCGGGTTTCAAAATGGCCGCCAGCTTTCAAAATGGCCCCCCACTGTTTTCTAGGACGGATTCCTCGCTATACAGGCACCGAAAATGGCCGCCATATGGAGGATCTTCGCTGGATGAGCAGGTATTCAGCCCATTGGAACGCACTGAATGGTTTTAAATGCATTTCCATGGGTTTTTAAATTTCATTTGACGACGTTTTCTCTCTACAGTGATTTCGCTGGAACGAATTAACGTCGTCAAGCAAGGCACCACTGTATGGATATCAGGAAAAAATATCAGGAAATTTGTGTCATTTGACCCTATTATTATGCATCCTGCACTCTGGGATGATTGAGAACAGATTCATAAGGTCTCCGTAAGTTGGAAGCAGCTTGGAAAGACTCCCCTGTGTTTTTCAGACAACAGATTCCAGAATCTTGCCCAGCCAGAATGGGATTCTGGGAGCTGTAATCTGGGATGGGGGGGGGGATGGATTCTTCCTCAACTCTTCCAGCTGTAGCTGTCTAAAGGAGGATGATATGAATTTATGGAGACAGAGGTGCTGGGGAACACACACATACAGAGGAGATCTTTCGATCTCACGCCTGGCTTGTTAGTTTCCCACACATGCCTAGTTCACTGCCACAGGAAAAAGCATGTTGCATTAAATGGACCTTTAATGTAACCCTCCATGATTTTACTTACCCTACATGGCCAGTGGGGCAATGAATCCGCTCCGGGTTTTGCTCCAGACTTGAAAGGAGCCATCCCAGCTGCTGAACCCTCTCCCTCAAACAGGTTTGCTGCCTTAAAGGGTTCCTTTAAGATTCAGATGGAAACTCGGAGTGGATCTACTGCCAGGCAGATGCCAGAATGGGATGAGGAAGACAAGGTCCAACCAGTTCAGGCTGTTTGGCTTCATGGGGAACAGGGGGAGGACCAAGCCAACCTCCCCCCCAAGTCAGGGGGATGGTAGAGGCAAGGAGAATTAACAGCGACAGCCCTCCAGAAAGTATTTTTAGACACTGACAGAAGAGATTAAATGCTTCAGTCTTCTCCCTGGATGGATTTAGGACTTCTTGTCCTGTGGTCTGAATTCAAATGACAGTTAATTCGCAATTTCCACACACTTGGGTTCTGCTTGGTGTTATATAACTCTTTCCCTACGTGGTGGCCAGGGCGGGCCTTTCCCAGGAGCAAATTCATGGGAGATCACCCACCTCCCACCCTTCCAGTCTAGAAAAACAGGACCGGAAAATTACTGGAACATTAAAATTAGAGAAACAGAGAGAGACTCCGAGAGAATGAGATACATATTGTTTGGAAGTCACTTTCTATAAGAAATCCTTCCCATACTGGCTAGTGCATGACTCCTCCTTGTTTTCAAATTTCTTACCAAACTACAAAACAAAATCTTGGCAGTAGGGATATGAACCTAGCCTAGGGGTGGAATCAGGGTCAAAATGTCTTTTAAAATGCTAGAAAAGGCCCTTAGGCAGAAAAACTTTAAGAAGCAGCAAGAATAATTTACTGCCTTCTTTTTCACTCCCCGGTAAAAATGAAAACAGAAACTTATTATAGGCAATTGCGTGATATGGAACTGATTGCTTTCCAAGAGGATGCACGTACATGCACACCCCTCAACTCCGTTTTTGCTACTGAGAGAACCTCTCATGCTCTCCTTGCAGCAATGTAAATCAGGCCGGAACGGAAGATGGGGGCCAACCAAGCATCGCCTATAAAACCTTGTGGCCTAGGGAGGATTTGAACTCTTACCTCCCAGACCAAAGTTCAGATTTTGGAATTTATTTGTGTGTGTATGTGGAATCAACAACAGCTCCCAGAATCTTACAGCTGACATGGCTAGAGTCTATTCCTAAGAACGAACATCTCCATGTATTCCTGCCTTGACCAGGGGGGTTAGACTGGATGGCCTTACAGGCCCCTTCCAACTTCATTATTCTATCATGCTTTGGCTGAGTATCTTTGATGCACCTCACTAGACTTTTGAAGAGGTCAGAAATCACACTGTTATGGATCACTTTCTCTGCAGATGAACACATACTTAATTCAGATCAGGACTGAAGGAATCAGAACAGGTCCTTCAAAGCAAAAATACGTCACTGGAGACCATCGGATGCTGCTTGCAATTACTCTGCATGGAGCTGAAAGCTGCAGAAAGCTGATTTTTTAAATGGACTCGTTTGAAATGTGGTGTTGGACAATAGCTTCACAGATACTGCGGGCCACCAGAAAGAGAAATAATTGGGTTCTAGGTCGAACAAAGGATGAACATTCACCAGATGCTATACTGATGATGCCAACTAGGCTTATTATTAAAAGCACGGCTCATGGGAAAAGACCATAATGCTGAGACAAGTGGAAGGCAGCAGGAAAAGAGGAAATCTGAAGGTGAGAGGTGGATCGACTCCATAAAGAAACCACAGTCTTGTGTTTGCAAGACCCAAGCAGAGGCTGTTAATCACAGGACCTATGGGAGGTCATGGGGATGCTATAAATTGGAAGTGACTTAACAAGTGGTGGCATTTGACCTGAAATCGTTAGCGTTCAGCCATCCCACCCATGCCTAATTAGTCCAGCTCTGATTAGGCCTACACAGCAGCAAATAACAACCCGTTCCCCTTTCCCTTCCTTGCGCTCCTGTTCTCCTTTTTTTACAGGCTCAGGAACTGAGGCACGTTGCTCCTGAATCGATACATACCTCGCAGAAGAAAGAAGAAAAGAGGATTAAATCTAAAATAAATCTGCCGGTTTCTCCCACTGAGAGGCTGATACGTCTTTGTCAGCCTCACGGGGGGGGGGGTGTCATCAAGGCGGAGATGGCCCGTCCTTCCCACCGCAACCCAGGGGAGAGGCACGGAGAGGCAGCAGCTCATAGAGCTCAGTGGGTTGGAGCACCTGGCAGCTAAGTCAGGAGTTCGAATCTCCACCATGCTTCCGGGAAAGCGGGCAAACAACACCCGCCGGGGCATGGGAGGCTAATGGCACCCCATGCTTTACCCTGGCTTCGGAACGTCACCTGATAAGCAACACTGGGAGATCACTTCAGGGGATTTTAGGCCTATAAAACACCCTAATTCAACATGGAGGCCTAATAAAATACGGAGAGGTCGAGATTAGCTTGAGAGGTATCGGAGACAGAGCCGAGCCCGCAATGGGCTGAACGTCACCCTCCGGCTGCACATTGCCCACCCCTGCTTTCGACCCTCCCCACCAGTTAAAGAAATATTTCCATCACAACCAAAGAAGCCCATTTTGATGATAAGATGTCCCGAAAATGTTTATTGGACCAGCAGGTGCCAGGAAATAAGCAGGTCCTCAGTTCTCCAGGATGGCCTTGTAAATCCACCTCTGAAAGTTGGCCACCGCCGTGTAGACGCCTGGGTACTTGGGGCTGGCACAGCTGTGGCCCCAGGAGACGATCCCGAAAACACGTCCGTCGCAGACGAGCGGCCCCCCAGAGTCGCCCTGGGGAGAGAAGGGGGCAAAAACACAGCGGCGAAAGAGGTGCTGAATTAGCTGATAAAATGGTGCTGTTTTGCTTTGCTTTTTTTTAAAACTCATGATTGAATTAGTCTTTTTTTTTCTTTTAGAAGCACAACAAGTCAACATGAGACAGGCCCTCTCCGTTAACAAAAAGATGGCAGAGAAACATGTTGACGTATTGAAACGAAGAAGCAAAAATGGGGGACGTCGTGTTGACGATTTTCCTTACCTCTGTATCTTGCATTTGTGGTGCTGACCCACAGGAAGGCAGGAAGAGGCCAGCTTGGCAAGGGCGCGGGGGCAAACGAAGGGAAGGTTGGGCAGCTTCAGGGGGTCAGTGGGGTGATTTTTCTGCCCTTGGAACTCAAGAATGCCCCCAAATGATAAGAACACAAACAGAAGTGGCCAGAAATCTCCTCCTGCTCTTTTTTTTTTTTTAATAACTCCATGTTTTTAGTGTTGTTGACCAGCATGGGCTTGGTCTGTGGGCTCTTCCAAAGGTCAATGAAGGCTCTCGGAAGCTTCCCAGATTTTGCTGGAGAAATGTTTTTAAAAAGGAACTCCGAGGCACAAGGAGGTGCAAGAGGGCCATGTGTGATCGCAAGGCCCCAATTCGCCCATCCTTCAACCACACCTTGATGGGAACACGCCATCTTCCAATTAGCCTGTATTCCCTTTGAGTCTCTTGCCAACTAAGCCTAGGTTCATCTTACAAAGACAAACCAAGTCCATTCAGTGCAGGATTTCCAACAAGGAAACAGGTCTGAATCTCTGAGCTATCCCAGAATCTTAGAGCCACGGGGCTGGAAGGGACCCTGTGAGATAATCCAGTCCAGCCTCTGGAAAGGAGGCATAGTGGGGAATCGAACTCCCACCTTCCAGCCCTGCAACCAGAGATATCAAACACTGGCCTTCAGCTACAGGGATTTGACCTGGAGCTATTGTTGAGCTGAGGACTTTCCCCTCAATGAAAGTGTGATTTTATTTTATTTTTTGCCTATCACAGAAGCCTATGAAGTTGGAATGCAACATACAGGAAGAGTCCTGACTTGAAGACCAAGCCTATTTCCCATGCCATTGTGCATCTAATGTCCGAAGCCTACACACCTGTGTGTGTGTTGTGTTTTGTTTCATCAGCTAACAAGGCTAGCACCATAAAACCAATTGGGGCACTTATTGTACCAAGATGGCTATTTCTGCTCTTTGTAAGCTAAACACCATCTCTTCCAGATGTGAGGCTGCAACTCCCACCCACCATCATCCTAGGCTCTGATACGAATCATGCCCTGGCATCCTTGGGACGGCTGGACATGGCTGTTGCCCGGCTGTTCCTTCAAGAAGACCGTAAGAGCAAATGCATTTCCCTAGAGCACTGGGGGGCTACCTGTGACTCCCCCTCCCCCTGCAATCTGCAGGCGGTACAGACTGTTTCGGGCAGAGCCTGTAAAAAGTTACTTTTTGGGGGGGGGGAGCAACCTACCCCATCCATTCCTAGATAGCATGGCTGGTAGGAATTTTAAGAGACGTCAGCAGTCCAAACTCGTCCAGTTTTACAACGAGCCTTAGAAGGCCAATGAATCTGAACTCAGGACAGGAAGACTCAGAACTCAAACCAGTTCTGAAGGAACAGAGCAAAGAAGACCCTCACTGGGTTTTAAAAGAAGTATTTTCAGGGGAATATATATTTCCACTGAATAACCCACTTTCCTCCAGTTTGCCTGACACAGCCACCAACCCTGGAGGTGCAGCCTCCCTGTCATCTCCCAATGACCAATCAGAAAATGAAGCACGCTAAATGCAAGATACGGAGGTGAAGCTAAAACAAACAGCACCTGGACAGAAGTGGGATGAAGCAAATCCAGCCTTAAACTGGAAAGCAAGGGGGGGCGTGTTTACCTGACATGCATCTTTGCCCCCAGTGCTGAACCCAGCGCAGATCATGTTCTTGGTGATGTGCCCGGCGTATGACGAGGAGCCGTTGCACTTCCCTGTCGGGATGATGGGAAGGTGTACGCTGCGCAGGGTGTCCGAGGTGCGCCCCCCAAAGGGGGAGGTGTAGCCCCAGCCGGAGACTTGACAGAAGCGGCCCTCCCTGGCCGTCACTCCTTGTGCGGGGAGGGGGACGATGGAGACAAAGGGGCTGTACGCCACTGGCCTGCGGAGCTGTTTGGAAGCATCGAGAAGTCATGGGGAACGACAGGCGGGCACAGGGTGGGGGTTCGTCTGCACTCCCAGGTCAAAGCAGCCCCTCGGCTCCAGCCCACCCACAGCTAGGACAGTTACCTCCAAAGAGGGATGAGATCATTCTGACGATTATTCCAGCCCCACACATCAGGAGGGAGCTAATATTTAGTCCCATCTTGGCTGTCTTTCTGCAAGCAGGCCAAGACCTTTCTCTTCAGGCAAGCTTTCCCTGAGTGACTGGCTGCCTGAATGGGATTTTTAAAATGGATTCTTGTTGTTTTTAATCTGTTTTAAAGGAGCTCCTGTTGCTCTCCAGTTCATTCCAGTGACTTAAAGGGAAACTACAATTGTTATAGGCTAGGTGGCTGAAAAATTCGAACCCAACCCGCTTCCGACCTATGAGGCAAAACAGAGCTAGGGCTGATCCTCATTGCCCTCCAAAATGTAAGGGCGTGGTGAGTTCTCCTTTCCCTTTTCCCCCTTCCCGTCGGATTTACTACCTTAACCAGCATGAGGTCTGCATTCTTGGAAGTGGGGTTATAATCCGGGTGGACCACCATGCGAGCCGGTCGGAAAACCTGTTCCGTGCCTTCAAATGCAGAGAGAGAATATTCCCCAGCTACGATCAACATCTGGCTGTTTCTGGAAGGGGTGGGGAGGAGAAAAGCCGGAAAACAGATCATGAAGGGAGAGAGATTTGGGACAGGTCCGTTTGGGTGGCTTTGTTCGTCCCAGCAAGAATGTTGATCGATATTCTGTGGCATCACACACAGTACCCTTGCGACTCTCACCGTCTTCTCCACCGCATGCATGATACGGCACAGAACCGGCTTAGCAACACCTCAGGCCCTAATAATTGGCAAACCCTGGTCCAAATGGCTGGCAGGATGGTCACAGGGCCAGCTCAAGCCAAGCCTAAAACCTTGGGGAATTTTAAAAACAAAAATAGGTTCACTTTGGCAAACTTTTGCCCTTTCTTCCGCATGTCACAGAATCCTAGAATCAGGGAGTGGGAAGGGGCCTCGAAGGTCATCAAGTCCAACCCCGTTCTTAAGGCAAGGATCCTGACAGACGGTGGTCCAGTTTTCTCTCCAAGGCCTCCAGTGTTGGAGTGCCCACCACCTCCTCCCGAGGTCATGGGTTCCGTTGTCATACTGCTCTAACAGTTAGGAAGTTTTTCCTGATATTCAACCGAAATCTAGCTTCCTGTCGGTTGATCATCCCTGTACTCTGACAGGATCAAGAACAGATCCTGCCCCTCCTCTGAATTTGAAAAATGTTTTCCTATCTCTCCTCAGACTTCTTTCCGCAAGGCTAAACTTGCCCAGTTCTTTCCCTCTTTCCACACAGGGCTTGATTTGCTCACTATTTACCTAGATCTTAAAATTAACAGTTCCTATTCAAGTCCCCCACATCAGTTCAGGGGCCACTTCAGAGGGCTTCAGAATGGATCCTGATTCACTCCAGAGTGACTCGGGCCTTGGAGCAGCACCAGAGTGGTCATCCTCTCGTTGACTGGCACTGGAAAACCAAAGCAGCTATAACTTTTTTTTTAGGTCTTGCACTGAAGTACATGATCATGAGAGACAAGAGAGACTCAAAAGGAGAGATTAAATTTTCCCAGTGTTAGACATCCAACTTTAGGGGATGAACCGAGTCCATTTGTAAATTCGCTTTGCTTTTGCCCCAGAAGCAAGTCAACCGATACATGTCAAGCCAGACTCTCTCCAAATTGTTCCAAAGTGGTGCAATTAATTAATAAATAATTCAGGCTTTGGCTAAAGGCAATGCAAATCCCCATTTGTTTTTAAGAAAACCTCTTTGCTTCCAAAACCTGCAGGTGGCCTGGTGTTGCTATGCTCCTGCCTGCTTTTTCCTCAGAATAACCCTGTGAGGTAGACCAAGCCAAGAAAGGATGGTTGGCCCCAAGATCCCTCTGGTCACCCGGTGAATTTCTCGGCTCAGCAGACAGACTCAAACGTAGACTTTCTAAGCCTCAAACCCTTTAGCCTAAGAACGGGTGACTTTGACACAGGTCAAAGGTTGGCACTGAGGACTTGTGCAGGGTTGCAACACTGGGGAATGTTCTTTTAAAAGCTGTTAAAATGAGAGAAAAAAGGGCCTCTCAGCCTTTGGCTGTAGATTTTTTTGTCTTGCCAAGGTGTTAGACTAGATGACCTTCAGGGCCCCTTATGTCCATAACAGTGCTGTGGTTTGATAGCATAAAGAACCAAATGTTCTGTAGGGCCCACTCCGTCTTCCTTACCCAGCCCTACAGTGCGCGGCGGTCAAAACCCAGCTCCAACTGATCAGCACTCCGCCACAGAAGTGGTGGCCTGTCTTCCTCTTCAGAGACACCAAGTACCTGGCCAAGTGGGGCACCACTACGTAGCCTCCAATAATGTTCTGGGAGTTGCTGGGTGCCTCTCCATCTGGGTAGAGATCGAAATAAACTGTCATACAAGAATTAAAAAAAATCTAGAACGGAGAGACATTCAGCTTGCCAGGTCCAACTCTGTTGCAAAAGTGGGCTTCTCAGGACAAAAACAGATGTTAGCAATGGCCTGTGGTTGGAAGAGGGAATTCCTTAACTAATGAAAGCATCTGAGTGCACTGCAGAAGGTTCCCTCAACTCTCATAATTGGCGAATCAGCTTGCTTTGTTCTATAAGTAGTTTGTGGGTCTAAAGCATGGGATTCCGCTGAAGAGTGATTTCTCAAGAAGAGCTGAATTGCGTCTCTCCAACACTAATGGGATGGTAGGCCAGCAATAAGCACCTGCTTCTTCCCACCCATTTTTGTTATGCACAAGCAAGCTGAGTCTGGAAGTTTCAAACTGGTCAGGTACCTCGGACTGACCTCTATCATGTTTTCATTAGGATCGTTTAGGTGGGGCTTTCGACCCCTTTAAAGAAGAAACTGGGAAACCTGAGTACGCACTTCACACCTAGGAAACCCTGGGACGGGTCTCCATGAGTCAGAAGTGACTTAAAAGTTTCTCATTAAACTCAGGTCTTAAGAGGAGCCCCCATAAGCTCCAGATAATGTTCCTCTCCAGTACAATCGTGTGCTGTCAAGTTGGCTCTGACTTCTAGCCACCCCTTTCAAGGTTTTCCAGGTACAGAAGACTCAGAAGTGGTTGATTTCCCTTCCCTTCTTCTGGGGTTGCCCTGCGACGGTGCCGCTGGCCCAAGGCTACCCAGGCTGGCTCTTCTCCCAGAAGGCACGGTGGGGGGAATCGAACTCCCAACCTCTGGCAACTCACTCACTGGGAATTCTCCCCACTGTTAAATACTAGTGGACTTTGTCAAAGCTTCAGATCATCGATTTTCTGAACCACTGGGAGACTATGGGGAGTTCTCATTCCCTCTCCCAAAACTTATTTTTCCCCCAAGCTCTGGGCTTGATCATGATATAGGTGATTTGGAAATACCAAACTTTACAAGCTCAGGGTGTTGTTGTTTTTCCCCTTCCTTAAGGCAAAAGTGGCAAGGTGCTGTCTGTTTTTCTGTTTCTATCTTTTAAAATGACACTTGCAAGCATCCAGTGGAGAATGGGAACGAGAAGAGAAATATTAGTTTCACACCTGGGATATTACACGTGGCTGTCTTTAAAAAGGGTGGGGGGCAGAGTCTGCCATCCAGAGCAGAGGTGTGAAGGATGATTTCTAAATTTGTGATTCCTCCAAAAAAGAAAGAGATTTCCCTCCAAACAAACAAACTGGCCGTTGGATTCATGTTACTCTTCTATAAAGACGGTTGCTGTTTTATTGCTTTGCTTTCAAACTCCTGGTTTTTATTTTGTTGGCGTAATTTTATGTTGCCAGTCTGGAGAGAAAGACGGTACAGAAACACATTGCCTTGAATGAATAATAGATGGGGTTGAAAGTGGCCTTATTCCTGAATCTGTCCACTTGGGCATCACATCCTGCTCTGGCCAGCTTTTACCTAATGATTACACTCCTAATGGATCTTAATTGGCCAACTGAGACCAATCCATCCCTAAATACTTTGCAAAAGGCATCACACGAATGATCCTTAACAGTCTGTTGCTGATGGAGAAATCCATTTCCCCTCCACTTTGGATGAGGACTGCGCCTAAACTGGGCCATATGTAAACATTATAGATGACCCATCACCAGATCCTCAAGTGCTGATCGTGTGTGATTGTCACCTGCTTTTGAAGCATCATTTTGAGATGCATTCCTCATTTTGAATACAAAGCAATGACTATTGACGTGAGAAATCTAACGTGTTCTTTCCTGGCTCTGATCTATGTCCAGGCCTTTGGTAGTGCACGGATCTTTCTTCAACAGCAAGAACCTTCTGGAAATACCACTCCAAGAATCCCAGCCTGCATGACAGAGGGCAGATCTCCGTTATCCCCATAACCAGCTGCCCTACACTGATGCTCTCTTACCTGGCCACATCGAGATGCTTTCATGGCTGGTGAAGGAAGATCCGGGGTCCACGTCACTCCCAGAGTCAAACTTGAGGCCACCAGCTCTGGGACTGACCCCTGCAAACAGACACAGGCCTTGAAGCAGTTCCTGGGTCTCTTAAATGGTCATCTTTCCCTCTTTTAGCGATTCCCAGTAATTTAACGTTGGCTTCTGTCGGCCCCCTCGGCCTCCCAGCCTCCTCGTGGATTTTGCTTTCCCATGTTAGAATTGGAACGTGTGCCTTTTGCTGCATAATTCTGTCCTTTCCACTTGCATAGAGCTTTCTGGTTTTGTTCTATGCCTTAATAAAACCCAATTTTTAAAAAAAGGCCACCAGGATTCCTGCCCTAAGATAGTTTTTGAGTCTTAAGGTTCTGCCATGACTGTTCTTGTGTAAAAAAGGACATTTTTAAAATTAAAGCTGTACATGCAGAGACAGAAGGCTAGCCTAACTTACTCTCAAACCGTCCTCAAAGACCTCCTCCCTCTCGCCTTCAACCCTAACCCCACCTGCTTTGCAGCAAAGAGAATCAATCACATTAACACTGCACGACACAGACAAACTTTTAAAACAAGGAAAACAGAAGATGAATGCACGAGAAAGATGTATACGAACATCCAGGAAAAATGGAGAATATGGGTCCTCTCACACTGCGCACAATTTACAATAAAAGCACAAGAATGAAATCATTTAACATTCACCTATTTTCTATAAGACACCACAATCCAAATAAGACTCCCCAAAATGTTGCATTTAATAAATAGAATTACTGTATGCTGAGTCCCCCACCTGAATATTGGAAACCTCTCCAGACCAGTATGGTTCTCCTTGTTTTTCATGTGCTCTTTCCAAACATATCACACAGACCGGAAAGAGAGCTTAGAGGGAGTCACAACTAGAGCTGAAGACACATCCGTATTTAGGAAGGTGACCAAGGCTTCAGCTGGCCAAGAGGGGCTACACTGATTTCCCAGGGCCTTCGATCGATCTTCCCGGTTCTGTGAAATCAGACTTTGAAGGAACCCCATGCATAAGTCCTGAAAACCCATCACCAAATAAGAAACATCTTCTTCCCATCATACCCCAGGTGACAATGGTTTGTGCTATGGTACTGAGATGCTCGTGTTAGTTAAGGATTCATCTCTTCCAGTGATGGGCTATCTCTAATGTCTGTTCCTGGCCTCACTGTCAGGGAGCTTTTGAGAAAATAAGATGCCATTTTCGTGTGTGTCCCTAGCGGCTCTCATAGAGCATGGAAGGCTGAAGCTGCAGGTACAGTAATTTAGTTACCTGAAACAGGTTACCTGGAGGTGTCGGTAATGAGGGCATAACACAATTATGCAACAAATGGGAACAAAGCTACTTTATTAACATAAACAAGTAGCATCTTGTTATTGTTTAAAAAAATACTTTTTAGAAACATTTGCAATTTTTTTTACAACATTTCCAATTTATTATAATTTTGGTATCAGTCCTAAAGTGCTTCTAATTTAAGGAACGGGAAGCAACTAAACGGCAACATGGAAGGCAAGAGGCAGCTTTTCAAAAACTTTGTTACGAGTCATGACAACTGTACCCTTCCAAAAGTTTGCAAGAGGCCGTTACTCACCCATCGCTGGGAAAAGCTGCAGAAGGAGGAAGAGGCGTGGATCGCAAGGTCGCATCCTGCACTTGCCTTTCTTTTCCCCCCTCAAAGCCCTTTCTGAAGGGCTCAGAGCCACTGTCTTCCTCCCAGCCCTCGCACCTTGGCATCCCAGTTCTTCCCTTTTGGTTACCAGGGCAACCCACATCCCGGCGAGAACAGTGAGGTATTCACCGGGAGAGGTCCTTGGTTGACTTTTCTTCACCTTGTGTTCTTGGCTTTCTAACGGCTCCGTCCGCCCGTGGTGCCGCTCAGGTTGGGACGGGATCCGGAGCACGTCAGGGAGCATGTCAGATCTTCGAGGGCTCTCGGGTTTCTCGGACGATGCTGTGGGTCAACAGCCCGAGATCCCGTCTCTTCCCCCCCTAGGGGAGGGCTCCCAGAACGGGCCACTGGCAATAGGAGGACCCAACCTTTTCTTGGAGAAGAATTTGAAGTGTCAACATGGTGGAAGGATTAAACGGGGCTCCAGTCAAAGACGGAGCAGCTGCCCAGCCTGCAGATGCTTAATTCAGGATGCTGAATGAGAAAAATCAAAAGCAGAAAGGCTCTCTGTCCAAAGATATGCTATGGGGCAGAGTAGTAGGGGATGCTAGCCTGGGAGCATCCATGATTTGACTCCGTCTGAGGCCCCCTCGTATGTTGGGAAAAGCCCATCACTCAGGGCGAACGTGTCTGCTTCCCACGCAGAAGGTTCCAGGTTGACTCTCCGGTGGAAAGGAGCAGGTCCCAGGGCGAAGGAAACATCTTGAGATGTTTTCCAATCCAATCCGGGCGACGCTGGACAACACGGTGGCCTCTGGGAGGCCTTTGGGAGAGAAGAGAAATCAAGGAGAGGGAACCAGGAATCACACATATGGATAGGAAGACATGAAGCGAAACTCACTTAAGGGGGAATTAAGGGGCCATTTCACAGAAGTAGGACTGCACCGACTAGGAGGAAGAAGCCGCCATGTATAACATTTCCAGGAGCTTTTGAGCCTTGGAAAAAACAGGCGGGGTACAAACAGAAGGATGGGTGGACGATTTTTGCTGAATAGGACTTCTCGCTGAACTTTGGCCCAAGTCCTGTTGTTGAACGTAGTAAATCGCCCTAGGATCAATGGGGATTGGATAAGTCAGATGGCTCCATAGTTTCCATTCAAACAGGGCTTTGTTGTGGTGGTGGTTTGTGAAAACTAAAGGATGTCACCACAGAAGTAGACCCATTTGAATCCATGGAACTTATGGAGGCATTGACTCAACAAATCCCCACTGATTCAGCAGGCCTACTCTAGTGTGATGTACAGTGGTGCCTCGCTTTACGATTGCCCCACATTACAACGAATCTGCTTTACGGCAATCTTTTTGCGATCGCAAAACGATGGTCTAAATGGGGGAATTTCACTTTGCGATGATCGGTTCCCTGCACCTGGGCAGGCTCATAAAGGGAGACGCGGTCCTTGAGAGAGGTACCACAAGAGTCTTGGGCGTTTTCGTCTCACTTGGTTGCCTCCAGCCACTATCCCACACCTAGTCTCAACCAGAGGCTAGACCCATTGAATCAGCTGCTGAAGAGTTAGTCAGCACTTACCTAAATCCCATTGAGGAAGGGAGTCTGTTCTGTTTGGGACTAGCCACAGGGGAGTGGCCTTTGGCTTTATCGTCTGGCCAGGATAATCCTGGAATTTTTCAGCCTCGGTTTATTCATTTCAAGCCCTCTGGGCAACTCCAAAGCTCACCTTTTGTGTGTCTGATGTTTTGGTGGGCCACTGGCCGGAGACCTCAGCGGTTCAAATCTCTGCTCGCGGGGCCAGAGGTTGGGAGTTGGATTTCCCCTGTGAGGAATCATCTGCAAGCAGAACCAGCCTGGGGGGCCTTGGGCAAGCTTCCCCATCCCATGTCAAGCCCCCCCCCAAGAAGAAAGGACTTGGTGATAAACCACTTCTGTCTATTCACTACCAAGAAAACCCCAGAAAGGGCTGCTATAAGTCGGAAGAGACTTGACAGCACACAATTATAATTATTTTTTGGTGGTCCAGCAAAGGAACGACTCGGCCTTGACTCTTAATTTTGTTCATGGACGTTCCTGTGTTTCTTTGTTGTATAATGCAGCTTTCTACTCTCTGTGTTACGGCTTTTTCCAATGAACCAAGAACATGGCGGAATTGTGAGCAGACATTCCCTGCATCAGGGAAAGGGGAAGAAAGGCTGAATTGATGCCGGGCCTCCATCTTCAGTCCCCACAGCACACCGGCTGCTTCTGAGGTGTCTGGTGCTCCCCCGGCTCTTCGTTCTTCCCTCGAGACCCATAAGGCGCCCAGTATCATCTCCGCGAGGCGAAGAGGCTGCTTTTGAGTGGTGTCCTGGCAGGAATCCAAAGCAGGGCGGATGGTGAAAGGGGCTTCTGTCTTCTCCCTGTGCACCCAGACAAAGCAGCTCTTCTTCATCCTTAAAAAGAGCTTTGGGCACCAGTAACCAGATCATCCGAGTCCTCGTTGAGCCTCGCGTGCCTCTTTCCAGGGGCACAATCCTTCCCATCCCACCGTGGGCGAGGAAGGCACCTTAGCCCTCTCATCCGAAGGACCCGAGTAGGCTATTTGTCCAAAACGTGGGAGAACATTTACGCCGGATTGATCTGATGTCTTTTTTTTTTTTTACAGCTGGGCCACCTCAGCCCATTAGGCTGCCCAAGGGCCCTTTCCAAGCCCAGCGCTGTCAGCCACTGGAAAAGGCACCTCTTGGCTGACAACGACCGCTCGCCCGCAGCATCCATGTACACCATGTGAATTGGTTTGACACATTGTCAGAGCTTGGAGAGAAGTATTTTTAGACTCAAACCCCAAGAAGCCTCCGCTGAGGGATTCTGGGAGTCGTAGTCCAAATAGATAGCTTTTCCATGCCATGATAACACCCGAGGCCCATCCAGTTATTTTGAGACCTGAAGCAGAAAGCTTCGCAAGTTCCCATCTCCTGACTCTCCCCACTACACACACTCCTCAAGAACTGTGTATCTGAGTTACTCCTCGTGAATTTGGGGGGGGGGGTTCAGACAACACAAGGCCATTACAGGTTTTTTTTGTTCCCCCTCCTGCTATTCCCCGCGTCAAATGCCGCCCGCTGGGAGACTACTACGATATTTGTTCTGTGTTCCATCATGTCGTACAACTGACATCCCATTGAGTGTGTACTCCAAATACGATTCATCTCCTGTGTATCTGGTGTGCGGTCCCATCTCCCTCACCTGCTGTCATTTGACTCCCTTAATTTTTTAAAATTAGTTTTAAAACAGGAACGTCCGTATACCTCTGTAAAATATGGAGCACCAGTCCCTCTACTGTCTGTTGATTGCCACTGCAGTCTGGGTTCTCCTCCATCAAGGGCAATGAAGTGCAAAAATAGGAAGAAATCGCCCAGATCAGTATGTGGCCAAGCAAAAGCATTTTGCCTACACACCGATGTAGCCACTGGAAGATAATTTAAAAAAAAGATTCTTAACAACATCTATATCACGAATTCAGCACTAATCAATAGTTAGCTTAATGGTCATGTTCTAGATAAATAGGTACCACCTCTGGCCAGGCAGCCTCCTTTCCCCTTTTCCCCTCCCCCTCTCCTACACTGGGAAAAGTCTCTCTCTCTCTCTCTCTCTCTCTCTGTGGGGGGGGAGGGAGGGAGGGAGAGAGATTTGCCGCTGATGATTTTGGGTTAAAAATATTCTCAGGAAATTGTCTGAATCTCCTCTTGGTTTCCAGGAAGAGACTTTCTTAGAGGCAGGACATTCAGTCATTAGATTCTTAATTAGCTTAGAATTCATGCATTCGTTCATTCTTTCACTCAAAATTACAGTGGAGTCCCGACTTCCAGTTGGCTCCACTTACGTACTTTTCAACCTACGGACTTCTCCGACCGCAAAGTTTAACTTCGACTTGCGGCCGGAGAGTCGACCTACGGACCAGAAGGGGGAGGCGGGGAAAGCGCCAAATTTGAATTTCGCAGTTTCCCCACCTCCCCCTTCCAGTCCGTAGGCCGTAGGTCATGCCTCCGGATGCCTTCCAGGCGGAGAAGTCATGGAAGGGATCCGGAGGTCCACCCTACCCTGTTGCCACCACCGCTACCACGGCCATGCTTGGGCTCCTGGGAGTCCAAGCATGGCTGGGATTGCCCGGCGCGGATCAGCTCCCAGCGAAGGCGCGGTGGGGGTTCCACTTCGACTTGCGGCCGGAGAATCGACCTACAGACCAGAAGAGGGAGGCGGGAAAAGCGCCCAATTCAAATTTGAATTGGGCTCTTTCTCTGCCTCTCCCTTCCGGTCCATAGGCTGTAAGTTGTGCCTCTGGATGCCTTCCAGAGTCCAAGCACGGCTTGGGTTGCCCGGTGCGGCTCAGTTCCCTGCAGCGGCAGCGGGGACCTCCAAGATGCCTTCCAGGGCTTCTCCGCCGCCATGGGAGGCATTTCGGAGGTCCCCCCCACCGCCAATAATGGCTCCGAAGCACTATCGGCGGTGGGGGGGCCTGCGAGAGGTCTCCCGCAGCGGCGCCGAAGCCATCAGAGGCCTCAGACAGCGGCGATGGCTGCGGCGGGCGAGCTCCGAGAGGCCTCCGGAAGCCGCGCTGAAGCTCTCAGAGTCCTCCAGCAGCGGCAATGGCGGCGGCGGGGGACCCTTGGAAGACTACGAAAAGGTAAGATTAATTTTTTTAATGTATTTTAATTTTATGTGTGTGTGTGTGGGGGGTGTTTTTTGGACCAGGTACGAATTAAATGGTTTTCAATGCATTCCTATGGGGAATGCATTTTCGACTTGAGGACTTTTCGACCTACTTACCCCGTTCCAATACGGATTAATTCCATAGGTCGAGACCTCACTGTACTTTTATCCTGCCTTTCTCCTCTTTGCTTGTTTACGTCTCACTGTTTTCGTTGGCGCAGGGGACGGTCGTCAGCTGGATGGTCAGACCTCGGGGCTCGAGAGGCTGAGCGAGGCTGAGTGAAGGGCCTCCTGGAAGATCTTAAAAAGCAGAAGGAAGTTGTGTGTCATCATCACACAGGTGGTGAAGGACCACCACATTCTGGACAGCCTCCGGTTTTTCGTGCCTCTGTGAAATAGTACGGGGAATTAATGGAGACCTGAAACACTCCACAGGCTGAGGGTGGAGAGGGTTGAACAGGAGGCCCAAGGTTGGAGACCCCCTGCTGTAGACTCTCTGGACGACTGCCTTGGGTGTAGCCACTCTTCCGCCGCCCTTTGCTCTGTCAGGCTTGGCCTCCTTTTTCCTGCTGGCAAGGCGGACACAGTATTGCACAGCAGTTTTGGGCTATTTCTTGGCGGAACGTACATACCAAACACATCTGTGGGACAAACCCGTTACTACTGACCTCAGTGAGAGTGGCATGGTTCAGATGACCTCTTGCCCAGCCACTGAGGTTACGGCTGACATCTGGGCCAAATCATTGCCTAGAGATCCTTTCCATCACTTGAGGGGGAAGGTCGGAACTCTAGTCAATGCACGCCTGCAGCATTGAGAAGGGGGGCTGGAGTGATATTCTGCAATGCAAGCATCCAAGTGAAGGTCTGACTGTTCAGGAAGGGAATCACCGGTGAAGCTCACATGCCGAAAACATGTTATCTATTATTCCTTCTCCGCTTTCCTGCTTAATTCACCTGCCCTTTCGTTTGGCAAGATTTAGATAATCAGTCCTTCCCTTCTTCCCCTTGTTCTACTTTTCTGTGTAAAAAGGGGGAATCCTTCTTGTTAGCCTTAACCATTGCTGAGAACCTGCCCCCTTTCCATGGATGTACCTACCTTGAATCATGCCTTCCTTCCTCACCGGTATGTATTATTGCGGCGGTTTCTGACTGTGATGGATTACTATTATTATTATTGCTGCTGCTTTTTTACAAATAGACAATGAGTTGCTTTTTCTAAGCCAGGCATATGCAGTTGGGTGGGTGGGTGTATATATGGAAACTTGCTGCTTATTGAATGTTTCTACCACTTTTTAAAAATTGCTGACTAGTTTTGGTGCTTATCACTGTGCAGCCAATGGAGTTAAAAATTAGACATAGTCCCATCATCCTAAAAACTTCATCCAGATTTTCCCTTTCAAGGTTATGCATCCCATCCTTATGTTTTTCTTCATTTGTTCTGCCTTCTCCTCCCTTGCACAGTTGTTATCTCATTTTATGTTTGAGAGAGATCACAGTCCATGATACTAATGACTTTGTTGACTACTCAAAGATAGGAGCATTCTGCTTTCAGCTAAGTACAATTTGTCCTTCTTACTAACCCTGGCATATTAATATTCACAGCTTGGGCATCTGCCTTGATCCAGATTTCACCATGGAACCCCAGGTGGCATCTGTGGTCCGGGCAGTCCATTTCCATCTCTGGAGGATTGCCCAGCTATGTCCCTCTCTAGACATGGGGGCACTCACGATGCTGATTCATGCCCTCGTCAAGAATAGACTACTGCAGTGTTCTCTATGTGGGGCTACCCTTGAGACTGATGCGGAGACTTCAGCTGGTCCAAAATTTGGTGGCCAGATTAAAAAGTGGGGTGAAGAAATTCCAGCACATCTCACCCACTCTGGTCACCCTTCATTGGCTACCGGTTTGTTTCCGCATCGACTTCAAGGTTATGATGATAACATTCAAAGCCCTAAACGGCTTAGAACTTAGGTACCTATCACAACGCCTGCTCCCGGCCAGATCTGTCTGCAATACCCATTCTTTGCAGGCAGGACGGTTGAGGGTCTTGACCCTGAAGGTGACCCGGAGGGAAAGAACAAGAAACGTGGCCTTATCGGAGGTGGCCCTCCGCCTGTGGAACAACCAGCCCACCTAGATCCACATGGCACCTTCGCTGAACGGGTTCAAAAGAGCCTTGAAGACGTGGCTCTTCCGCCAGGCTTTCCTGGAGCATTAAGATCTTGGCCTCCCTTTTACCATCCTTTAGCCATCCTCTTCATCACCCTTTTTACCACCTTCATCGCCATCTGTTTTCATTTACCCTATTTGGCTATGTATCAGTTTAATTTTTTATCATGTTTTAATATTGTTGCTTATCTTGTTGTTAGCCACCCAGAGTGGCCTGGTTGCCAGACGGAGCAGGGCATAAATTCAATAAATAAATAAATATTGTTTTGCAAACATAAGACTGAGGTTTCTGCAGGAAATCTGCTGTGACAAGTAGCTGGGTCCCAAAACATTAAGAGGTTTGTGTGTGTGTGTGTGTGTGTGTGTGTGTGTTTCAACAATACAAAAAAAAATTACAACTAATTTAAATACTAGGTAAGGAAACACACACATACATAAATGACATAATGCTACTCAGTGTTTTTCATGTTATGGATGCTAAGTTATTGTGTGTTTCATCATTAGGTGTACTGGATATGGCATTTATTTTCATTCGACGGACTTACTGTACTATGACAATAAAGTTCAGTTATTTAATAAATTTAACTATAATTCTGCACCCACCACCAAGACCAATAGAGATATTATTCTCTCTCTCTCTCTCTCTCTCTCTCTCTCTCTCTCTCTCTCTCTCTCTGTGTTTTGCAATCGTTTATGGTGCTTCCTTTACTAGATTTGCAATTAAGTCTTTTTGCCCGCACCTGCTGGCTCATCATCAGATATAGATAATAGTGAATTTTGATAATAATATTTGATGTTCCCATGAGAGAGATGAGACTAAGAACACCCCCAAGTTACAAACTTGATTTCTTCCAGATCCAATGGGGAGGGGGATGCTGACACCGACCCATCGTCCACCTTCCCCTATTCTTCAAGGTTTATTCCCTCCTCCTGCACGAGTTGGGCAACCTCTACAAACTCCTTCATGGCTTCAGCGTGAAGGTCAGGGTCAGCTCCCAAGGGCGCAAACAGATTAGGGGGGGCAGCGCTGAGGAAGGCCCAGGGTAGAGAGATATGGATGGGCAAGGAATGGTTGCCGATCAGGAAGTGTTTAAGATCTTTTCTCTGCAAGGCGTTGTACAGGTACAAGAGGACATCTTGGAGGGCCACTTGAAAGTATTCACGCTGCCAAGCCAACGGGCTCCGAAGGAGCAAGAGGTGCATCAGGGAAGTCTTCAAGTGATAGTTAGTGAGCACAGGGTTCCTATAGGATGATCTGGACTCCCTGAAATTGATGAGGATCTGCAGGCACTTCAGGTGGCAGTTGTCCTCTGGAAGCCGCCGGTGCACCCATTTGAAAAAGAGGAGTTCCTGGACGACAAAAGTCTCCTGCCAGATTGTGCCGGCAGCGCGATCCATTTCACCGTCCTGGGTAACCAGGAAGACTGAGGAGTCCTCTTGCTGCACCCCAAGGATGATGTCGATCGAAATCGACTTCCCGGACTGAAATCCCAGCTTCAGGCGGCATGCCGTGTCGGACGGCTGGGGCACGAGTTCGAGGTTGTAACTTTGGTAGAGATCACGCCAGGCTTTGGCCACCAGTTTCTGGAACCAATGGATGGTCTTCTCTGCATCCAAGTGGGAGCCTCTGCACAAGACCTGCGTGCCGTCACTCAGCTGGCGCTTGGGATGGTGAAGGGCACACACCCCGTCCCTCAGCAGCCTCTCCCTCTTGCACACGCACTCCGTCTCCACCGAGATGCGCCCGTGCCTGCTCAGGGCACCCTCGGAATCGCTGGTTTCGATCTGGAAGGAATGCCCCTTGGGTGGCAGTAGCGGCACAAGCACCGTGTAGGCTTGGGAAACCTGGGTGTGCCACCCTTCAAAGGCGCTGCCCACCCCGATGCATTTCTCGAGCAGCGGGAGGGTGTTCCAGTACGGCAGGGTTCTCCGCCACACCTCCAGCAAGTGGTCCACAAAAGAGGTGACAAAATCACACGTGCTGATCCGGTCACCCGTTTCCATCTGGACGTGGCAGTCGCAGAACATTTCCAGCATCGGTTGGTTGGATCTGCACATGTCAGGCTCTGTATTGTCGTCGTCCTCTTCGATAGTGCTGGAGCCATAGCTGTCGGTGGCAGAGCCATAGCTGTCGGTGGCGGAGCCATAGCTGTCGGTGGCAGAGCCATAGCTGTCGGTGGTGGAGTAATCACTCAACTCCTCCTCCTTGCTGTAAATGATGTATTTAACGAGGAGAATGGGGATGCTGAGGAGGAGGAGGAGGAGGGTCAACACCACATCGTCCAATCCATCACTGGTTCTGTCTTTCGCTGGCAGGTCAAATTCAGCTTGCAGTCTTCCCATTTCATGCATCATCCGATTCTTGTGCGCCTGGATCCGGTCCAGTGTCTCTGGGTCGCCGTCATCACTGACCATCAAGGGCTGATGGAGAAGTGTTAACATTGCCAGGAAGATAACAGGGCCCAAGGCCATGTCTAAAGAGAGAGAGAGAGATGCTCAGAAGGGACTCAAGGAATGCTATCATCATCCTAAAATTATAGAGCTGGAAGGGACCCAATGAATCATGGAGGCGAAGACTTGGCAAGGATGAATCCAACCCCCAGACCCTTAAACCTCTCCGCTCTCCTGCGAGCTTAGTGGCTGAACCCTAATGTGGATATTTGAGGGAGTTTCGGTAACATTCTGTATTTCTTTGTTTGTTTGTTTCTTCCTTAATTAATTAATGAATTAATTAAACTTTTATCCCGGCCATCTAAGACTCCATCTATTCTGGGGGACTCAAGAAAATAGAATAAAAACAATTAAAAATATCAACAGCAATTTCACAGGAATAAGCATATCATTCAAGATGGGAGATAAGAGATAAATTGGATGGCGCCCGGAGGGATGTTGTTGTTGTTTAGTCGTTGAGTTGTGTCCGGCTTTTCGTGACCCCATGGACCAGATCACGCCAGGCCTTCCTGTCTTCCACTGCCTCCCGGAGTTTGGTCAAATTCATATTGGGCGCTTCGATGACCCTGTCCAACCATCTCGTCCTCTGTCATCCCCTTCTCCTCCTGCCATCATACTTTCCCAACATCAGGGTCTTTTCCAGGGAGTCTTCTCTTCTCATGAGATGGCCAAAGTATTGGAGCCTCAGCTTCAGGATCTGTCCGTCCAGTGAGCACTCAGGGTTGATTTCCTTTAGAATTGATAGGTTTGATCTCCTTGCAGGCCAGGGGACTCTCAAGAGGCTCCTCCAGCACCACAGTTCAAAAGCATCAATTCTTCGGCGCTCAGCCTTCTTTATGGTCTAGCTCTCACTTCCGTACATAACTACAGGAAAAACCATAGCTTTGACTATTTGGACTTTTGTCGGCAAGGTGATGTCTCTACTTTTTAAGATCCTGTCAAGGTTTGTCATTGCTTTCCTCCCAAGAAGCAGGTATCTTTAAATTTTGTGGCTGCTGTCACCATCTGCAGTGATCCTGGAGCCCAAGAAAGTAAAATCTGTCACTACCTCCATATCTTCCCCTTCTATTTCCCAGGAGGTGATGGGACCATAATCGTAGTGGGTTTTTGTTTTGTTTTGTTTTTTGATGTTGAGCTTCAGACCATTTTTTGCACTCTTCTCTTTCACCCTCATTACAAGGTTCCTTGATTCCTCCTCACTTTCTGCCATCAGACTGGTGTCATCTGTATATCAGAGGTTGTTGATATTTCTTCCGGCAAATAATTCCGGCTTGGGATTCCTCCAGTCCAGCCTTTCGCATGTATTCTGCATATAAGTTAAATAAGCAGGGGGACAATATGCAGCCTTGTACTTCTTTCCCAATTTTGAACCAATCAGTGTTTCCATATCCAGTTCTAACTCTTACCTCCTGTCCCACGTATAGGTTTCTCAGGAGATAGATGAGGTAGTCAAGCACTCCCATTTCTTTAAGGACTTGCCATAATTTGCTCTGGTCCACACAGTCAAAAGCTTTTACATAGTCAATGAAGCAGAAGTAGATATTTTTCTGGAATTCTCTGGCTTTCTCCATAATCCAGCACATGTTAGCAATTTGGTCTCTAGTTCCTCTGACCATTTGAAATCCAGCTTGTACTTCTGGGAGTTCTCCGTCCACATACTGGTGAAGCCTACCTTGTAGGATTTTGATCATAACCTTGCTAGCGTCTGAAATGAGTGCAATTGTATGGGAGTTAGAGCATTCTTTAGCACTGCCCTTCTTTGGGATTGGAATGTAGACTGATCTTTTCCAGTCCTCTGCCCATTGTTGAGTTTTCCAAACTTGCTGGCCTATTGAATGTAGCACTTTAACAGCATCGTCTTTTAAGATTGTAAATAGTTCCACTGGAATGCCATCACCTCCACTAGCCTTGTTGTTAGACAAGTTTTCTTAGGCCCACTTGACTTCACTCTCCAGGATGTCTGGCTCAAGGGCAGCAATCACACTATCTGGGTTGTCCGGGATATCCAAATCTTTCTGGTATAATTCCTCTGTGTATTCTTGCCACCTCTTCTTGATGTCTTCTGCTTCTGTGAGGTCC